GTAAAAAGACAGTGGAGATAAGAAAGCCAATAAAAGTGGCTCCTAGAGTGATTGCAAGTATAACTCCCACCTTGCTTCTTTTCTTTCTTTGTGGAAAATGTCCTGGAGAGCTCTGCACTGTGATTGAACTCTGCACCTTTAAAAACACAGATGAATTGTAATGTACATCCACTTCTCTTTTGAATGACAAAGCTTCAGATCCAAAGAAGCACAAGGCAGATGGTACACGACTAGAACCATAACTTTGAAAAACAGCATACTTGCAAGAACAGTTGTTTAAACAGGCTTGCTTGCAGCGCTCGATGTCTGTTATATTAGAATTATCTCGAAGGTAGCTAGCAGAGCTAGAAACATTCTTGATCTCCAGAAGACTTTCATGGGAAGAAGACTTACAAGATACTGCTACATAAGGAGAACACCCAAGATCTGGCTGGTCAGAATTAATCATCTTGAAGTGCACTGTATGGTTTTCATCTGGTTCTGGGCAACTGCATCTTCCTTCCGCTGAACAAATTCCATATTCTCCACACGCCAGTGGATAATCACATCGATTGAGTTCATCCTTAAACAAATCATCGACTTCCTTCCATTCTGATTCTACCCAACTAAAAGACCTTAAGTGCGCATCAGATCCTAATTGTATAAAACTAACTCCAGTCCGTGAAAAAAGGAAAGGACCAAAATTAGTGTCAGTGAATTCAGCATAACACTGCGACGTTTTGTTTATTTGATCCTCATACTGTTGGTAATAGTCTAGGGTGGCATCTGACCCTATAGAAGCAACAAAACGACAATAAAGACCATTAGAACTATCAATTGAAAATGAATAAAAACCCTCCGTCCAATCTGTGGCTGACATATTAGCTTTCAGTTTCTGCCCAGAAACAAGCCTCTGTCCGACAACTAAACAGTCTGTTGGATGATCAAAAGACTGCCAAATTGTGTCATTGTTTCTATCAAACAGTACAAGGTTACCCTGATGAGTTAACTTCATTCCTGAAACAAATTTACCTGTTGTGTTTGTAGACCAAACCAGAGTGTCATGATCATCTTGCAGTGTTAAATCCCCTTCTTGAGAAAACTGCAATTTTGCCCCAAGTCCAATCGGCTTGTTTTGGTTAGCAGACCATACCATTTTAAAATTTGGATAAGGGGTGGAATCGGAGTGGAAGATGGAGATGGCAAAGAGGCAGGTGTTGTTTTTAGTATCAGCTTTGCAGTGGAAGCCACAAACAAAATTCCCATTGACAAGGAAAGGTTGCAGTGTTAACTCTTCTGATTCCCAACTAGAGTCTGAGATGTTGTTAATGTAAGAGATGGGAGGCTTCACAATTGAACTCTGCACCTTTAAAAACAAAGATTGATTGTAAGAAGTATCTGCGCTCTGGAATGCAAAGACTTCAGATCTAAACAAGCAATGCCCAAGGGATGAGGAATTACTATCAGGTATAAAAAGAGTATACTTGCAAGAACAGTTGTTTAAACAGCCTTGCTTGCAGCTCTCTATGTCTGTTATGTGATAATTAGTTCTGGGTAGATAATCAACATTCTTGAGTTCAAGAAGACTGTGCTGGTAAGGAAACTCACATGATATTGGAATATATGGAGAACAACCGAGTTCTGGCTGCGAACGATTTAGCTGCCTGAAGTACGTTGTTCCGTTTTCATCTGGTTCTGGGCAACTGCATCTTCCCGCTGAACAAATTCCATATTCACCGCACATCAGTGGGTGTGGGTCATCACATCCGTTCTCGGGCAAATTAAAAACTTCCTTCCAGTTTGATTCTACTTCTACCCACCCGAAGAACCTCAACTTCCCATCAGACCCTAGTTGTATAAAACTAAATCCAGAACCTGGAGAAAGGCTAGCTCCAAAACTTGTGTTAGTCAGCTCAGCATAAAACTGCCCCGTTCTTAATTGAGACTTTTTGGATCTGTAATATAATTGAGCAGGATCCGATTCCATATAAGCAACAAAATAACCATCATCATCAATTGAAAATGAATACAAACCCTCACTCCAATTTGTGACCGACCTATTTGCCACCAATATCTGCCCAGAAACCAGCCTCTGTCCGACGACCAAAGAGTCTGTCGGATGCTCAAAAGACTGCCAAACTGTTTCATCGTTTCTATCAAACAGCACAAGGTTACCCTGATGAGTTAACTTCAATCCGGAAACAGATTTACCTGCTGTCTTTGTAGACCAAACCAGAGTGCCATGAACATCTTGCAGTGTTAAATCCCCTTCTTGAGAAAGTTGCAATTTTGCCCAAAGTCCAATTGGACTATTTCGATTAGTAGACCATACCATTTGTGGAGAAAAGCCGGAGTTGCCACCAAAACTGGATCGGAAGATGGATATCGCAAAGAGACAGGCGGTTCCTTCAAATTTGCAGTGGAATCCACAAACAAAACTACCATTGATCAAGATAGGTCTCACCCCTGCTGATTCCCAATAACTAAAGTCAGTTGGGACGACGTTAGTCTGGGAGAATGGAGGCTCCACAATTGATGGATAATCAAAAGCTTCACCATTTGTCAGAAGCAATGATGTTACAAAGAGAGATAGAAAGGTAGCAGGAAAGAAGAGCGTATTCCTTCGCCCAGCATCTACCATTTCTTTTATGGTTTATTGCTCTAATACTATATAATTGAGGGGTGATTGAGCAGCAAGACTAGCTAATTGAATTATGAAGTAATAAAATACAAAGAACAAAGCATTAGTATGATAATTTGTAGATTTTTTTTCCCTTAAATTGTAAACTTCGCTCACCATACAACTCCTTGCAACCTTCTAATTGCAAGTCAATGCAAGCTATTCCTCAACTTGCCGATTGGGCAATCAAGACTCAAGTCATTGTAGCTAGATATTTCCTCATTTTTAACCCGTTCTTTTTGCTGGAAAAATGAAGGTTAATGAATGTCACAACTACCAGGCAGCAAGCCCATCAAAAGACTCTCCTCTCAACATCATATGATAGCGGTAAGAGCCTGGAGAGAGCATCATTCTCAACAACCAAGTTCTCATAGCCCAAGGCAGCAGCCTTTCGCAAAGCTTAAATGGATTGCAAGGATCTTTCATACCGTCCATTACAACTCTGAACTTATGTCCCAACCCCATTTACAACCTATGTGTCCAATGTTATTAAAAGCTTAAACTCAAAATGATTAGTAGTTAATTATCTTGACACCCGTGAACCATTTACAGTTACTCTATCTCTCCTATATGTGAGATTGCAGTATCACTTATGTAGTTTCAATTTGGAGAGGATCTATTAATGGAAAGACATATTGCATTGCGGTTAATTTAAATTTTAAGGCATGTGGCTAGCTTCAAACTTCAAGCAACATATGAAGTGTAGATGAATAGTCCATTCATAATTAAGATTGTATAGTCGTGTTTAGCTTGAGGAATTCAAATTCCATAGTCATAATATAAAAATAAAGTGAAATTGAGAGACTTACTTGACAAATCTGAAATAAATAAACCTTAAAATTGATTATATAATTTCTACTAAATTAAGAAATAAGTAAAAAATAGCTATTACCATCTCTTCTCCTAAAAAATGATTATTCTGTAGGTCTTTCCTAATCCAAAACAAAATTATCAACCTTAATGAGCCCAAAAGTATGTGTCTTATCTTATAAGCAAGGTCAACCATATGAGGGCTTTTTTTAGGCAAAACCATACAATCTGAAGTTAGTACGCCGTAACAAGATACATTGCAGATTCTAACAACATATGTCTAAGCTGTCCTTAAAATTAAAGGTCAAATAATTAAGCTGCTGGATATTGGGTTTAAGGATCCAACCTTTCAAAACCAAAGGCTGCCTAATGTATGAGAAGTTTATTGTCAACAAGAAAACGCAAGGAAAATCTAGCTTTAGCTTTGCACTTTGGGACCTTGGTACTATTTTTCTCTGCGAGGATTTTGCTCACAACTCAGAATGTCATCCACATGAATTTGTACACTTCTAACACCCCTCAACATATTAATATATCCATATATCAACTAATACCAGAAAGCTATAGGACAGAAATTTCCTTCTCTCTTTTTATATTGGAAGAAATTTTATGAAAAAAAAAAAGGGGGAAAACTCACCCTTGCAAGTTGCAGTAGACCAGGACCACATTTTCGTCAAATCTCCTGCATCCTTGATGGAGATATGCTAGTCCCTTGCCCACTGCCAACCAAAAGCAAGCGCTTTGTTTCTGCAGAATATCCATTGAATTCAGCCCTGTAAACTCATAATTCTAAGTCAATTTAAGCAGTCAAGTCATTGCAGCTAGAAATTTCCCTTCAATCTATCTCAATCTTGTAGCGAAGCATTTTCCAGGAAAAGGAATTACTTTGATTTCTTCAGAACCCTTTCTTACGTTGGAAAATGAAGCACTAAATATTAAATTATAAACACAACTACACTGAAATTCCTAAATTAAGAATAGAATACAATTTCATAGCCTAAAAAATATAGCAATCAAAAAACTCATAAAAAGAAAAACGTTATTTTATTTCTCGAGAAAATCCAATGAATACTTATCCCGTTACACTTGTGAGTAGAACTTTACCAAATTAGAAGAAAAATGCATTGACTTCATCATAATCCCATTCTTCTGCTGGAAGAATCAAGCATTGTCTGAAAACCATGCATGAACGAAATCCAGAAAAGGTATTCTGTAAAAATTAGAGTTTTGCAGTTTAGCTAGAGAAGAAAAATAACGCACTTAAGCAAGACCCACTTCACTTCAAGGTACATGCAAGGAAGCTACTTCTCGACGCTTTTCTGTTTGCTATACTGTAGAAAACAGGGGGGAAGAAGAAGAAGTTAACGAGGCGGGAACGGGGATTCCCTAATCCCTGCCGCTGTCCTGTCCTGTAATTCTTTTGTTTGTCAGCCTAAAACGTGATAAGTTAAGCATGTTCTTGACCCAATTAAACCACTGCAAAATAACGATATGGGCCGCCCACTACTGGGTAGTGTAGGGCCTGCCATGGAGCTTAGTTTTTGAGTTAGTAAGTTTTTTTTTTTTTTTTTTCTGTCTCTCTCTCCTAAATTTAACATTTTTTTTGGAGTAAAAATTTTCCTTTTAGCATTTTTGGGGTTTAAAAGCAAGTTCAATAAAATTTTCCATTTAGATTAAAAATTGAATTTTTATTCTAAAACTTATAAACTCTTGAATATACAATTTTTCTTTAAATTATAAAACCAAAATTATTTGATAAGAGAAAGCCATATAATGATTTGACACAAGATATGGAGGGGAAGGGAGGAGTGAGAAAATTTTTATCCAATAAAATTAATATTTTAACCAACATCTTAATTTCAATAAAAAAAATAGAGGCACAGTGTATTTAAAAAAATTATATTTTTTTATACCAACTACAAACTTAAATATGAATCTGACATTCAAAATAATACTTATTTAAGATTAATTTTTTATACACAACATAATTTATTATTTTTTAATATTTGATAATAAAATATATTACGAAAATAGATCTTATTTTATATTTTAAATCTTTCCTTACCTATTTTAAAGTTTAAATTCAAAATTTTCAATAAGAGTTAAATACTCCCGATTTGTCATCCACATGAATTTCTACATTTCCAACACCTCACAATATTGCAAACAATATCCATGTCTAAACTAAATGGCACAAAGCAATTGGACAGAAATTTCCTTTTCATTATTTATTGTATTGGAGGAAATCTTAAGAAGAAAGGAAAAATCACTCTTACAAGTTGCAACAGATCAAGGCCACATTTTCTTCACATCATCCTTTCAAGTCCAGTACCTGCATGCAAAGTGCTAACAGAAACACAGTATAGCTCCAGAAATGGCCCTGGAAACCTGTTTGCAAGTTAACTCAGTCTGCACCACTAGAACTAGCGTTCTTCTGCAAAGTTACCATCAGTTTTCCTGTCCTGAGAAGATTCATTTTCCGGCTCCTCGAAGATTGAATAAAACAAGTTTATCATTCAATACTTCATCATCTTCATCTTTTACTCATACACTAGGAGGTCGATGTCAACAATCCCCGATTATCTGCAAAGCTCGCGAATCTATAGATGAAGGTAGGTTTTCATTTCTCCTTCACTGTTAATAAATTTTCAATATATTTTTTTGACACCTTAACCCCACACTTTGAGAGATAATGAAACTGTATATAGTACTAAATTAAGGCACAAAGAGTTATTAGGCGAATAATACCTGAATCTAAAACATATGTATAGAAGTATGGTAACAAGTACAGTCCATTTTGATTTGTCTGCAGTTCAAGTGGTGACAGAATCGAGCTGGGAAAACCTTGTGATTGCAAGTAAAAACCCAGTTCTTGTGGAGTTCTGGGCACCATGGTGTGGACCGTGTCGCATGATTGCCCCAGTTATAGATGAATTAGCAAAGGAATATGCTGGAAAGATTGCTTGTTACAAGCTCAATACTGATGACTCCCCGGGTATCCCAACGCAGTATGGGGTCAGGAGCATTCCAACAGTACTGTTCTTCAAGAACGGGGAGAAGAAAGAGAGCGTGATAGGTGCAGTGCCAAAGTCCACCTTATCTGCTACCATTGATAAATATGTAGATGGTTGAATTGTAAGATATATATGGCCCTTTGTGCATGTCATTCATTCAGATAGCAGTACTGAAGAATTTTCACGGTTCTTAAGTATTTGTACATATCACCACGAATCCAAATATCGATTTGTTCCTTCACATCTCATGCTAAAATACATTCAAACCAAACACAGCACATTCACATGTGTCTTGCCATAATTCCATTCCAGCATGCTAGGGATCTGCTATCACTTTCAAGACTGAATCATAAATCAGGGTGACATATATTAAAAGAGAATGGAGCACCATAAAGATGATTTAACATTTCATTGATAAAACACTATGCTTTATGCTTAGCTTATCTCAAATTAGTACAAAGTGGGAGGGAAGCACTAAATCTATCATATCCTGTACCATAATCCGACCAGGGTCATTGGCAGTTCTAGCAGTTCTGGCCACTTTCGCCGCACGTGCATCTTTAATCAAGAAAGATATATCGTTGTTACACACCTGAACCTTTCGCGCGGATGGTTCTCAGTCAAACCGAACCACATGAATTCATTGTTACTGACAAAGCGTTTCACTCATGGGGATGGTTTCCAATCAAACTGAAGATTATTAAAACCATTAGCTGCTCCTAAACCACTTAGAAGCTGGTTCCCCAAATCCTGTTGTTGGTGATTCATGCCTTGATCTCGAGCCATTGTTGTCATGCCCATCCTCCCATTCATCATGAGGTTATTATGACCCATTGCAGCTCTAATTCCTCCATTGACCATGGCAGACTGGCCAAGCCCACCACTCATTGTTCCAAACGCAGCTCTCCCAATACCTGAATTATTGTTGACCACCCCATTTCCCACTAGACCATTGCCACCATTCAGAACTGCATTGTTACTAGTCTGCAACAACCCATTAACACTTTTCACATCATTCCCTAGTGAACCAACACCAACCATTCCACCTGGACCACTAAGTTGGTTGGACATCATCATTTCCTGTAGTATCTTCTGGACAGAGCTTTGAGACTCACTAGGGTCAGCCTCACCAGAAAGAGCAGGCTGCTGCACAGACAAATTTGCAGGAGAATTTGCAGAGCTCATGTGATTGCTAGCTGCTAAGGCACTGTGAGGAGCTTGAGGGGGATTGTTAGATGAGGAGGGTGTTGGTGACTGATATTGAGGGGGAATGGGTTGCGCTTGTGGAAGTGTACTTGACGAACCAGGGGATGACATCTGAACAGAATTACCTCCGTAGGGACTACTTGCATTATTCATAGAACTCTGCTGCCTGGAGTTCATAGAATTTTGATTTAAAAGGCCAACTATGGTGCTAGCAGAAGTTGATGCTGATGCTGCATTAAGAGAATTATTTACACCACCCACACCATTGTTAGCAGCAAGCTGCATTGCCGAGGGTTGGACAGAACCCTGATCACTGTTGCAGCTCTGAGTCATTGTTTGTTGCTGCTGGGACTGTTGATGTTGTTGCTGTTGTAAATGTTCTTCAGACTGCTGAGCTTGAGTGCTAAACCCAGATGAAGTACTTGATCTTCTAGAGAACTTGGCCAAACTCTCTAAGGAAAAACAAAAGCAATAAAACAATAAGCTGCTAGTATCAAAAAAAGTTCTGGTACTGACATGAGAACTAGTGAATGTGACCACAGTCAACAGAATGTTATCCATCATTTCATTCATTTTTCATTCTACCGCCTCAGGTTATAAATAACCAAAACTGCATTAGCAGGCTAAAGAACAACAATCAAAATCATGTTAAGTTCTCAAAAAGATACCGAAAGAACAAGAGTGTAATGCCATTTCTATATTTAATCTGAATATATGTGTCCATTGGTCTTGCTTTTATAGAACCTCGCATATATGATGTCCTTAGTTAAAACCTAAATCACTGCTTATCCATTGTCAGTCTCCAAATATCTGAGCCTGAGCTAAGATCACTTGCCAATAGCACTTTCTAAACCCAGGACTTGTTGCCAAAATACAGGCCAGTTTACACCTATTTCACTCAACAAAGTCTAAGAAGTATCATGCTTGACCTTTGATTATACAAATCCAGGTAACTGGTCATATAATAAATAGCAAAAGAGCAAAACGATAAATTAATGCTTATTCAATCTAATAGCAGATAAAAATTATTTGATCCAAACCAAAATGGAATAACAGACCAACATCTTATAAGGTCTTGATATTCTACCAAAGATGGATAAGATTTACACACTTGCAACACATCCATGATTATACCATATAATCACAGCGTTTCAATACATAATAATTGAACACAATCAGTTCTTAGTGGTTACTGGTTAGAAAAAGTTAAAAACACCTTTGGCCAAAAAAAGAAAAGGGGTAAAAGAAAAAAAAGAGCCTGTTACTGCCCTTAAAACAATAAAGAACATGCCAATTGATGCTCGAGGAAGAACAAAGTAAGGGACATGAACAGGCTATTCACCATAAAACTACATTTTGAAACCAATACAAAAGATGGCCAAAAAACAAAACCAATACAAAAACTTTGGCAAGGGAAATATTTCATTAGAACTTACCCATTGGTCCGGTCCCTGTTTCTCTACTGTAATCAATCAAATCTTTCATGCTATTAACCACCTCAGAGATCTGAAAGAACACCAAAAATAAAGTTAGCTGTATACAAAATTTCAGAACTCACAGAAAAATTGACCCAAATGTAATTAATTTATCATCTCTTACATGGTTGTAGATATTCTAACACAGCCATAATAATGAAGTTGGGGTATATGAAAACCCAAAACATAATTTGCTAAAATATCCATTCTTATATATTTACACGCAAGGAATTTCTGGGTAGAAGAACTCTTGCTGGAACCTAAGTTCACCATACTGCTAGAAGTACACACTAAGTATAAAAACTCCAACTGGTTTATCTGCATTATTCACAAGACAGAACAGAAGAAACACTAACCAGTTCTAATTTTTTAAAGAAACACTACAGTTACATAACAGTATCCAAAAAGAAATTCAGAAGATTACTGAAATGAAGAAATAAGCTCTAAGTAATATAAATCAGCCTCAAAACAGAAAGGATATTGAAATTTAAAGAGAGTCAACTCAGTGAAGTCTTAAGATTTACAGAAAAGCACTATCAGAAAAACTGAATAAATATTGGTTTGGACAGTGCATAAAAATATCTATGAAGTCTGGAGAGGAGAAGCCAAGTCAACACATCCAGGAAGGCTCAAAGGAAAGCTCAGTATGCATATGATAAGCCAAAGTAAAACCCTAAGGAAATGATATTGGGAAATAGCAAACAAGTCATATTCAAATTGAAGAAAATTATTTTGTAAAAGAATCCCAAAGTGTGAATTATATTTCTTCGAAGTTCAAAACCACAAAATTTAACTTTCTATAGGAATTGACAAAGATATTAGACATCACCTGAAGGCATCGTACATATCTCTTTGTATAACCCAAATCATTGACCAGTGGCACTTCCAATGCTTTTGCCAACTGCCGAGCTGACGCAACAAACCTACAGTTTAATAAACAATTAAAAAATTCATTACAGCATCAGAAGTTGCATATATAGATTTAAACAATTTTTTAAGATACAAAAGAAATAATAATAATAATAATAATAAAAAGGTCAGAGTTCCTTAACTGTAACTTACAATAGAATATATAAGTGAAGGAACATTTTCAGCAAACTCATCAGCTAAGCATTATTGCACAACATGGAACATAAACCACACATATACAACAAGGGATTGCATGCATCAAGAACACAATCTAGTTGCAATTCTAAACATTATTCCAGACACATTCTAGTTCAATATTGAATCAGGAAAGATTAATAAAGGACATACAAATTACAATTACTCTGTAGCTCTGGGGCAGTTAAATTAGATGATGCATTTTGAGTAGCTGCCTGATATTTTTGAGCTGCTGCCCCAAGCTGACTAACCTGCATCCCCAAAGTCAGAATTGTCAAACATTGCTAAATGATCTGGTGGTAACCATATTCTGTTATTACCATACAAGACAAAACAATAAAGAGATATAAATTCATGATTTCTATCAATACTTGTAAAACAATGATAAAACTTCAATTGGTAGAAATGCAACATATGAGCAATATCACAGAATATGAGTTAGAAAATAAGATTTGAAGCCAACAAATAAATCATAGATGATGAGATGTATATATAAAAGTAATAAAAAATTTTCCAGTACTCGAAAAGGTAGTGATTAAAATACTACAATGGAAGAAATGCATAAGAAAAATTAAACTTAAGCCATTACAAGGTGCAGTGGAAGAATTCCCTACACAAATGTTGTCTTTGCTAGAAGTAAGAACCACTGCACTCTCATTTCTCATGGAGATTAGAACCCAATTCCAAATAGGCTTGTTAGGGTTGTCTCAATCATTCAAAAGACTATTAATTTGTTGGTATATCAATCTAGATAAGTAAAATTACTGGATTAATACCAATGGTGAGTCAACAGCAGTAGGATTGCCTGATCACTAAGCAGAAACCATTTTTTTGTAGTTTCAACAGATAAAACAGACATTTTATTATGGATAATTGCTGCCAAAAACAGAGCTTCAACAATTGCAACAGCAGTAATATCACCAAAAATTGTAATGAAATGTGAATTTAATGGTGTCAATCCTTTGACATCCGAGCAATAGCTCATCTTACCTAGCACAAAATGCCATCAACATTCCCCACACAGATTATACACACACTAAAGGCATGTCACATCCATGAACTTCAAAAACTCAAAGAAGGATAATGGAGGACTAGAAAATAACAAATCCATGAGAATTAACAAGCCCAGGGATTTAATGAAGATAAAAACTCATGAACTACAGAGTCATATAATTTTAATGGATATCAAGAATGGTGCAGGCCCAAAAAGGATTAGAGACATAAAATCTCATGAAAAGCTTGTGAGAGAACAATGCAAACCCCATTCAAATAGGCATGAAGTAAAAACAAAGATGTTAAATGTCTCTGTTTGTATTCATTTTGGACTCCAATTTTCAAGCAACTCACTTATAGAATGCTAGAATTCCCAGAGCAATTATTCACTAATGTTGCAATAAAACTAGAACTGTTTAATGCCCCTTGCAGCAAATATGAGTTATTAATAATAACTATATACTTTATTATTTTTAAGATGAATTTGAAATGGTTAACTAGAAAAGGAGTTCAGTTGGCACTAAATGTGTGTTACAAGTTAACATGTCAACTTAACCAGCTGCAAGGGTTGGCATTATGGTTCAAATATAGTACTTGGACAACCATACTGTAAGGTAAAATTAAATAATCAGTAACCTGAGGTATCAACAATCTTCTAGGTATGAGTTCTTCATGACGCCGAGCACAAAACTCCCAGGAGCATATCTGATGAAAAGAATGGTAAGACAAAATCTACATTTACAAGGCCTCAAAATCTTCAGAGTCGATAGAATTAAAAGACCATGTTCACAATGAGCTACCTTGAGATCTTGGGAGAAAACTATTCGCAGCTGACCATCTCGAACAACACGAAGTTGCTCAAAAACACTTTCTTGTATTGCTTTTGCATAATCCAGGACAATTTGACCAGAAGAATTCTGATACTCACGGGGCATATCAACATAAAGAAGCTCTTCAAGAGTACCGCTTTCATATTTAATTTTGAAAAGTCTGGGAAGAACCTCAACGGTTGCTTCTGAGAGCATGATAAAAATAAATCAGATGCAGTGAAAATGTTTAATGAGTTATAAGAGCAATGAAAATATTAGAAACAAAAACTAATGAGTAACATTCTTGGCTAGCATAATCTTGCAATTTAGTTTCGTCAGAATAATAAAAATGGTACGAAATAGGACATACCAAAACCACGGCCAGGCCTCTGATTACAAATCTCGCAGTGCCATACATCCTGCAGTATTTGCAAGTAAGTTTCATTGCAACAGTTCCAACCATCCATAACATGACACTCATAAAATTTTAGAAGGGCAAGACTGAAGTGAAGGACTTTGTTATAGTGTTAATGGAATACCAAAAACAATAAAAAATAATGAGGTTCTAAAACAAACGGCCTCAACCTACTACAGAAGATGCAAGCTAGATAATCACTAAGTTTTTCACTGTAGCAGACCTGAGGAAAAACACCAGTAGTTTGGCGGCCACTTCCATACATAGAAACACACCACTTTTTTTTGGCATGAGGAGCAAAATACTCAGCAACGAATTTTCTCCAGAATTCAATGTTGTTGTCCTACATTAGAAATGGCAAATTAACATTCATAGAGCCACAGTATATCTGGAAAATAAGCCTTCAAACTCGGCAAATCTTACTTGAGGTCTGCGCTGTTGGTGACACATGTAATGTGTCAACCGCCGGGCACACATCCCAGGTTCATATACTTGTTTCATAGGTGATCTCAAAGGCAGATTCTGCTGCTGAAATTGCTGGGGTCGCTGCTGAGACATTGTTTTCAATAATTGTTGCTGCTGAAACTGTTGTTGCTGCTGCTGAATATGCAAGACTCTTTGTTGATTCAAGAGATTCATTTGGGCAGCAGCAGCAGCAGCCTGTGGTGGCTGCCGAGGCACGTGGAGGAACTGCTGCTGCTGCTGCTGCTGATGCTGCTGCTGATGCTGCTGCTGCTGTTGATGCAGAAACAAAGATTGATCTGAATGTTGGGGTTCCATTTTGACTGATGGCAAACTTCTCAATGTCTGGATTGATTGGGGTTCCAATTTGACAGGCGCAAGCGTCCTCAGTGACTGCAACTGCTGTTGCTGTCCAAGTTGCTCATTAGGCTCCAACTTGACAGATCCAACACTAGCTAACCCTCCCCGAACAGATTGAAATTGTTGCTGTTGCTGCTGCCCTTGTTGGGTATTGTGCGGCACAGAAAAGTGTTGCATCGCTTGCTGACCATGTTGAAAATTCTGCGTCTCAAGTTGTTGGGGCTGAGGCTGCTGCTGATCTGGCAACAGCTGGTTCCCAGAGAGGTTTGGAAATTGCTGACCCTGAACTTGACCAGATGAAACAGGGTTAACCATGTTTGATGGTACAAATGATGCGGAAGGAGCATTAAATCCCATTCCATTGCCAACGCCTGAAAGTGGATCAGACTCAGCACCAGCATCAATGCCTCCCCGCTGACTACTTGCAGGACCAGAGAGCTGAGGATTCACACCTCCATTTCCAAATGATTGATTAAGCAGCGAAGACATATTGGGCACATTGCCTACCATACTCATATTATTAAACTGAGTTCGAGGGGACAAAAGCGAAGGGAATGCAGTTTGGGAAGGCAGACCACCCCCCTGTGATCCTAGCATTCCCGAGTTCGAACGCAAAAGAGAAGGAGGTACAGACTGTGCACCACCAATTGGGGTGGAAGTCCCAGATGGTACCATATTTCCAGAATTATAATCTATGCAGACTTGCCACGGTACAACTATCTAAAACAACATAATTAATCGAATAAACTACAGTTAAACAAGAATGCACGGAAAGATAGAGAGCTCAATGGAATCAGCATCTTAGCCCCACATTCCTTGATTTGGCTTCATACTCCTCATTGTGCACGAAGAAGAATGGGTACGATTTTGCGCCTAAGAACGGAGATTTGCGTTCTACAGCACAGAAGCCAGAGACCAAAGAAAACCAAAGCCAAGGAACAACCTTTGAGTCTGAACATTCTAGAATTGTACTATCTCCAGGTGAGAAGCAAATATGGAATGGCTTTCGCATGAACCCCTGTATAACATAACATAGTTCAGATCAATTGCAGCTTTAATCATTCCAGAAAAAGAAAACCTTTAAATATTATCAAAAAGACCCAAAAATGAAAAAACTTTTGCAGCAGAACACAAAGTCCAAAATCTCCATCCCACTGTTATCAGCTAAATCCCTGATCCTAAAAGCCATTAACTTCTTCCAATCAATTCCAAATGAAGCTGAAACCTCAAAAAATTAACAAGATGAACAAAGTTCACAAACAAAACCCAAATTTCAACCCCAAGGAGCACCAAATTGCAAGTCCAACCAACCGAAAATCGATTTAACTCCCAAAATACACCCAGAAACAAAAAATTGCTAAAGGAATAACAACTAAGCTGTCTCGATCGAGCCCTAGACATCACAAATCAACGATCCAGAGCTTGAACTGAGTTAAAGAAACAAATGGGCAGTAAAGTTACTTAAAAAGAAGAAAAAGGGTCAAACCCAAATAGACTTCTAAATACTTACCCGAGCTAGAATTCAACAGTACTGACAGAGGAAAACAGAGACAGCCCTCCAAAATCGCCAAATATACTGATTTCAATCCAAAATACGACTAAATCGAAAAAATTCACAGATTACCCAACTCTTGTTTCTTCACTTCCTCCCCTCTTCTCCAATAAAAACTCAAAACAATGAACACCATGAATTACTACTTAAAAAAGCCGCCTTTAGGGCTTCTGCGTCTTCCGCTCAAAAATCAACCTTCTGCTCTTTGGAGGGGTTTTCCCTTTTTATTACTTCCACTCCCAGTACGTGGCCTGTTCTTCGCTGTATCTAGAGAGAGAAAGCGTAGAGAGATAATGAAGGGGAGAGGGGGGGAATTTAGAGAGAGAGAGAGATTGAGGCTCTGAATGTCCTTGCGGACGTCAAAATTGTATTCGATCTGATTGAATTTTCTTCATTCCTTCTTTTAACTTTTCTCTGTTTCTGTTTCTCTCTCTCTCTCTCTGAAATCAAGTCAAACGCTATTCTTTCTTTCTTTCTCTTGGCTTGTGTAGCTGTTTTTTTTTTTTTTAATATTTTTCTTCAAGTGCATGAGCACCATGCATATATATACATATGTTCACCATATACATCATCATCTATCACCATCATGGCATCACCTCCATTCATGATTCCCTTGGTGAGTTGCTAGGGTGACATGTCGGTTTGAAACATTGGACACTGACAGGTTGCGGCTCTTTGAAGGAAGGCAGGGTTCCGTGGTCCACTAGTTTGTTAAAACTATTCTAAAGTTATTTAATTTAATATATTAATTAATAAATATTAATTATTTTATTTATTATATTATATTATCTTAACAAACTAATGAATGGTTATAAACATTGAGGTGAGACTGCTTCCTTAATATAATTTTTATTCAAATTTAATTTAAATTATATTGAAGTGTAAAATAAAAATTATTAAATGAAATATTTTCTAATGTCAAAAAATATGTTTTCATCTAATTATTTAAATTATATAGTTTAAAATATTTTAAATTGTGTAATTTTTTTTTAAATAGTGTACAATTTGAGGGATGGGGAAATGGAGTTTTCAGGATGGTGATGGAGCTTTAAACTTCGATCACCTCACCTAAGCACTTTTAGGCTTGGGGTCAAATCATTAGGTTTAAAGGATCGGTTCAATTGTGTAATTTTTTTATTAGGTATAATATTTTTTATTTTAATTAATATATTCATATATCAATTTATTGCTCTAATCTATAAAATATCAGTTATTAAAGAAAAAAAAAACGTATTCCATTATCAAAGAACTCTTTATCATCCAATTAATAGTGTTATATGATTCGTATAAATTCTATATTAATAAAAACCAATAGATTATGGTACCATTTTAGTGCAATATTCTTGCAAATTTTTAATAAGAATATAGAAATTCTGTTAATAACTCAACAATCATAAAGTTTAAGCCAAAAAATATACTCCTATCATGCAAAACATTTGTATTAAGTCCCACCGAATATTGTCTAGACTCTGCGCCTTGGCTAGACTTGGGTTCTATTTCCTCTCCCCTTAAATTTGGAAGTTGTAACATGTTCAAAAAAATTGCTTAGATAGTAATATTATTGCCAAAAAAATTGTGAGAAATTATTATCTTCTTGTAAACTATCTAACTCTTTATTTTCACCAAAAAAAAAAAAAAAAGGCTATCTAACTTTTAACCAATAATATAGAAAAAGTAAAGCCCTGAAGGCCAGAAATAAATAAATAATTAAAATAATTAAAAAATAAAATTTTAAATAAAATAAAAACCATGTGTATCTGTTTCCAATAAGCTAAAAAAATGCACCCAAAGGGTAGGCTTCAAATGGTTTGTGAGTGAAGCACTAGATTCATGAGCTATTAAAAAGGAAAAAACAAGCTAATTAAAGAATCCTTACTAGCTAGGCACTTTAGATCCCATGAGCAGGATTGATTGAGGTGGGAATGGAATCAAGTGTGTAGAATAAATTTCACGAGGGAATCAATGGTAATGTTCATTTTTAATTATCATGTTTGGTATATATAAGGAATAAAGGTGAAATGAAGGGTATTTTAAGTTTCTTTGTCTTTGTGACAGTAGTTTTTTTAATAAATAGCAAAAAATATATGAAGAGTGGGAAAGGAAATTGATTCCTACTTAAAAAGGTAGAAAATCATGATTCCTACTCTTATGATTCCCTTGCTAAATTCGCTCTGCAAAATATGAAAATAGAAATATAGAATATATAATCAATATTCATTCTATTCATATACATCCACTAATAAATATCATTTTATAAATTAAGTTTAGTGTTTAAATCATAATGTTAGTATTTAATAAAGTTATTTTTTTAATTTATTAGGTTAATATAGGGAATACACCTTTAAAATCACTTTAAAAAATTAGTTTTAAAATATGTGAAAAACTGGACTAAAAACGTTATAACAATAAATACCAAAAAAATTATAAAAAACTATACAGCTTTCACCTATAGGAATTGCAAAGGCTTTCAAGAATCAAATTCTTATTTTTGTTATTAGCAAAATAACCATACAAAGGATCAATCAATTTTTTTTTTTAAATACTATCAGTCATATGGTTAGTGGTAGAACTAATTAATTATACTTTTAATTATAGATTTAAAATTTAGTTCCTAGTATCAAATGACTTAAGTAACCCTACAATATTGATAATCTTTTTTAAATAGAAATAAAAAATCTTAAATTGAACTCAAATAACATATGAAAAAAGTAGGTTAAAAAATTAAAAATAATACTTTTATTATGTAACTCAAAATAAGTATATCCTTAATTTCTTCACACTAAAAAGAATTCTTTTAAAATATAATTTAATTTTCTGTATATATAATTGTATTGCAAAAGGCTTTAAAGAGAACAAATGAGTCAAATTTGGAACCGAGACGGACGTGCCCGTGGGATGAAATGCCATGTAGAAGCACTTTTTGTTGGTTTAGGGGTCTCAATCATGGCCGTTGAGGAGTGGTAGGCTCACTGTCTCCCTTAACCCTTTTTTGACACACAGATGGATGGCGAAGTTGCACATATGGTATTTTGCCATTATGATTATTTATGTTCTTATGTTAACCAATTTGATGGAGCATTAATGGTTATTCTCATTATTTTTAACTAGAAAATAACATTTTTAATTTTATTTTGAATTACAAAATGAAATAATTTTTTTTCATCTCTTTACTCACTCCATCAAATAATAAGAATTTGATTCAGGACATTTTTAAAAAGGAATCACAAAAGCTCTCAGCAATTATATCCTTATCTCAACTATTTAGTTATAACTCAAAATAATAATCTCTTACTTAATTTAAAAAAGAAATTACCATTCCACTCAGCGTAAAATAACATCTTTAAAATTCAAATTTATGTAATGTAATCCTTGTATCATACAAAATACATTTAGAAATAATTGTTTCGGTGAAATGTAAATCATCATAAATTTCAAATGCATGTATTTGAAAAAAAATGAAGAAAGTATATTTGTCGGTAATGCATATGTTTATTTGAATTTGAGGACCAACGTGGCAATTTTTCGAAATACCCAAGTATTCATGCATATTGTAAACACTAACGGTATCTTGATTTTTAAGGAAAAAACTTGTTTTTTTTTTTAAATAAAATTTTAAATTTAATTTTTATAAATAAAAAAATAAAGATCGAGAAATTTTTTAATATAACTTTCATATATTAAATGGTTAATAAAAAATAAAAAATAAAAACCTGCTATGTAAAATTGCAAAATTGCAAATCCACTCTCCCCTCCCCCGTAGGGGGTTCAAACTTCAAACCACCTACTATGGTCTACATAGATATATATATATATATATATATATGCAAATCCATCTTTTAAAAAAAAAAAAAAAAAAGAAACTAAATTGAAAATGAATCTCCAATTCAAATTTTGAATAAATGAAGGTTTCAAGCATGATTGACAAAGTTATTAGTAAAAAAAAGTGCTCCTCACTTGTATGGCCAAGATCCATACCCTCTTTTTCCTCCTTATTCCTTTTCCTCGTAAGTGTTTCAAACAATTAATATGTTCCACAAAAAAATTCAAAATTCAGATATAGTATGACTTCTCAAGATTTCAAGTTAGAAAAAAATTAAATGATTTAAGTAATTATGTAGTAATCTTTTTCACTCAAAATAAAAAGTAAGAGATCCTAAATTTAAGTCATATGGTATACGGTTGGAATAAAATAAAGAACGAAAGAGAGTTATCTCTCATTATATAACCAATATAAAAAAAATGTCAAAAAAAAATAGTAAACTACAAGATCTATTTAGTTAGGAACTAATTTTACTAAAAAGGTATATAAAAAATATTTTACAAAAATTTAATAAATTTTTTAATAAAATTTTATTAAGATTTTATTAAATTATTAACTTTTATAGTTTTATTAAAAAATGAATGTAAAAATTATTAGTAAAAAAATAAAAATAAATAAATTTTAAATTGTTATAATAAACATTAAAAAGAGTAAGCAATGCTGCAATTAATGCCACGGGTGGAATTTTTCATGTGACAAAGAAAAGCAAAACAAGCAAGGAGCAGAAATTTTGCTAGCTGTTAAGGGTGCCGTGGTTGCAGATGAGGGTAGCCCATAGCAGACAAATTGTCGAAACAAAGAAAATTCTTGACGAAATGAAATGACAAAATTACCATACATGGCCTAACCATAGTACTGCCATCAATTGAATCATTTCCAATGATGAATATAGCCCACATTTTCCCATACCTCTCAGTTGAACAAGTAAATTACATAATCATCCTTGTCCTTTAACTGCAAATTACATATAATAAATATATGTGCAACAACATAAATAACTCAGTGATTATTTTTTTTGTTGAAAATAAAAAATCATGAATTCAAATCACATGACATGCGGATAAAGTGAGATAAAAGATAAGAGATGATTGTCTCTCATTGTGCAATCAAGATAAAAATAAATAAATAAATATATGGTTATAAGCAAGCATGATTATGCTCACTTACTATTTTATTAAAGTTATTTATTTTTTAAATTTAATTGTTAAAAATAATTAATTTTTATTATTTAATAATTTAAAATTAATTTTTAAATTGATATTTTTAAATATGATAATTAATTATTAAAAAAATTAAAAATAGATAAAATATCAATTAAATTAAATAATTCTTGAGTGACTTTAAGAAAATAATAAATAGTTATAACCACACCCATCCTACACACTCTGCCCGGTTGGTTCTGCCATTAGGTTAGTGAGAATAGTTGAGAGGTTTTTTTTTTTTTTTTTTGTTTCCGCCCGGTATCCGGGGCTTCACCCCGACTATTCTGGACTCGACCAGCTATGGCGTACCAGAATGGTGAATAGGTCTCCCAACGAAATCTGTTGCGTACACAAAGTCTCGAACTCGAGATCTTGCTTAAGCTGGAATAAGCCGCTTGCCACTTAATCCAACCCCTCGTTGGTATAGTTGAGAGGTTTATTGTTCAACCTTTTGTAATATATGGTTAAGGAAACTCACCTCTTTATTAATAGTTGAA